GTCTCTTCTGTTTAGAAATCCATGTATGATTAGAAGGGACTTTTAAGGCACGTAATGTAGGCCATGGTTCATGGTTATGAAAGAAATGGATAAAAGGCCCAAACAAGTGTTTGGGGGTAATTGAACCAAGGATCAATTCATTCTGATGCCTTCAATCTTGTATTGCTCAATTTAAATTTGCTCATATGTTTCTTTCTCTTGATGCTCTATGATCTTCGAGAGAAGCAATTCTTTGAAATGATTGTGCTTGATCAATCTCACGGTTTGAAGCTCGATGCGCCATTTGAGTCGAAAGACTCTTTGTCTGTACTTTTTGTCTTCTTTTTCTTTGTGTTTTTTTCTTTGCTTTTCTCTTTGTTTATTTCTCTTTGCTTTTTTGTCATTGGCTTCTTTTATCTTTGTTTTGATTGGATCTTCGCACTTTGCATCTGGTTCACCTTTTCGTATCTCCTCTGAATCAATGTCTTCACTCATGCAAGCAGATTTCCTCCAACTTGCCCCACAGTGTGGAGGGTGATCCTTGGTTAGGGTTGAATCAAAATAAAATTCAAGCTCAAATAAGGACTCAAGGGATATATTTTCTCCTGTTGTGAATGGATAAAGAAAGAAAGACGTTCATCATTTCATACACAGAAGTCCTCGCAGAAGAGGTATCCCCAGGGGGATAGATTTTTAGAATTAATTTTATTCACATGAAAACAATGTAATTAATGCATGATAAAATTATTTTGAAATAATTTCTTTTTCTTCTTATTGCTCCCGGTATGCCTCAATTGTACAATCTCATCTTCAAAAAATGATGCAAGATGCCTCATAGTGTGTCTTCTCTTAGAAAAGATCATGTTCAAGCGAACATCTTATACTAAATGTCTTAGGTCTTATTGGTAGAAAAATGACGTTTTTACGTCTAAGAAGACGAGGGTGACTTTATTGGCTCAAAGAAAGATATGGGTATGACTTTTTGTGTCTCAAAAAGATAAAGGCAATGTTTCAAGGTCTCAAAGAAATGAAATGTCAAAATTTGGTCCTTTGGTAGTGACCATGAATTATTTCAGGTAAAAAAATCAAGAGATTTTATTTTTGGTTTAGATGGGATAAGAAAAAGCTAATCTTGTCATATGTCAAAAATTCATAATTCTTGATGAATTAAGAGAATCTGTAATTCTTTTGATATTCAAAGAACTAAATATTAAAACTTGCTCAATTATTCAACCTTAGAAGGTAGCATGTTCAATCATTAAGATTAAAAATATTTAAGAAAAATATTAAACACAGAACAAAAATGAGTCAAATAAAATAATCTCTCTGGATGCAAATGATAGATGCAATGCTCTCATCCATATTTGATTGTCTATGCCCCTGAATCCATCAGGTTATGGATCTTGCGTTTCAGTGCCTTACAGTTTTCAGCTGAATGTCTGGAGCTTCCTATGTGATATCAACATCATAGACCTCAGGATATGGGAACTCTTTCTTAGATCATCCTGGAAGGCTCAATCCTACAACCAGCTGAACAAACTCCCACTATACTGATTTCAACTTGAATATTGCTTCTATTCTCAATATGGTGTCGTGTGGTTAGGACCACTTCATCTAATCCTCCATTGATTAATTTTATGTTTTTATAAATGATAAAATGAAGATGCAAAAATGCAAAGATGCAAATACATATGCAAAAATGTTGATCCCAACGATGAATATCATAGAATAATTTTCACCAAAAATAAAAGCTTTCACATTACAAGGCAGTCCACTTTGTAGACATGTCTTCGATTATATGTTGAGTCTGAAGTGGATCACTGTTTCATCTCGAATCTTCGTCCTCGAAAATAATGTCTTTTAATGCTTTGTAACATAACTCGGTTAATTCCCCATGGTGCTAAAGTCATTGCGTCGCTCCTTGATTATTAGCGTTGGAACGATCGTAGATAAGAAATAATACTGGATTACTCCCCGGATCAATTGATCGTAATTTCGGTCTCGAATGTTACACGATCTTCGAGCTATTGCTTCGTCTCAGATCTTTGTATTTGGAACTGATGTCCCTCAAGCGTTTTGTAGCTTAACTCGGTTAATGCCTCAGCGGTGCTGAATTCATTGTGTCGCTTCTTGATGACTAGCGATGACATGATTATAGATAAGACTCCACTGCTATATTACTCCTCGAATCAGTGGATCATCACTTTAGTCTCGAATGTAGCACAATCTTCGAGCAATTCTCGTTCTTGCACTCTTGACTTCTTTTAGCCTTCGACGCATGTTTGTGTATGCGACTGCTTGATTGAAGACTTTTACCTCTTCTTGTGAAAGTTTTCTATTGACTATCCCCTTGCGGATCAACATTCTCGCATTATGTCATGATGATGCAATGCCATGCAAAGAATGATGAAAAACGACACAAACAAAAGAGAGGAAAAAAATTAGTGTACACAAGCAAAAGAAAAGAAATTAGTTAGTACAGGTAAGACAATCGATACAGATAAAAAATGCTATTCAAAAATGAATATAACACCTACCACATCATGATCTATACCTGAACATGCTTTAATTAAATAACATTCCTACCCGGACATGTTATCTACCCAAAATGATTTGTTTTCAAGAAATTGATCATAACCACATGATATCTAGTTCGCATGCTTTTATTTAACATAATTTAAAATGAAAATGAAAGGTTCAGAAATGCTCCTCCTTTGTGTACACTTAATTTGGGTACCTATTAACGGACAGAGGTTTGGTATATCTATACCTAGGGTGACCGTTCTATGGTTCACTATATGCATGGTTTCGGCTCTAACAGGAAAAGGGGGACTCGAATTGTCCTTGATGTCGGTGCCCTCTTGGGCTGCCAGACCCTCGATCCTCACCCATTATAGGTTTCGAATGGAATGAGTTCAATTCGAGGGGATTCATTGCCTTATACCCATACGAGGAATAAATCCCTACAAAAGTATAAGGTGTGTATCCCATGGGTTATTTCCTAAAACTCATACGAAGAATAGATTCTTACGAGAATAATGCATTCACCCCGGCTAATTTGGATTGAAGCTCGTGTCTAGAGCTTATGTTATGAACATGTATGTGATGTGTGAGGAGAAACGTACCTACCTTTGACTCAAAATAAAAAGAAAGATAAAACTCGACAAAAACTTGGATCGATCTGAAAGCAAAAATGTTAACTAAAAATGTTAGTTTGACTGTTAAAATGAAGCAATTAAAAACTTCAAATAACGAATCATAAGTTAACTAAAGACTCGAACTCATAATTTCAACCAAAACGATAATGTGTAAGCGACCTACAACTTGACTCACTAAAAAAAATCCCCAGCAGAGTCGCCAAGCTGTCATAATCATTTTTAGGTGAAACCATTGCTTATAGTTTTAAAAACGATTATGACTTTTTTTAGGGAAATTGGGTGATTTTGAATTGATTAAAATAAAATGAAAAAGGGAGTCGTCATCGACCTTTGGGTTAGGTAGGTCGAATATCCGTCTTCTAAAAATAATTTTAAGCAAAATCATTTTTTAAGACAAAAGTAGTATGCGTTTACCAAAGATTCGATTTGATGGGTTCGGAAGTCGATTACACGTGGAGAAAGATTAACACCCCACAGCGCCCAAAAACTGGTACTGAAACACTTACATATTGTCGTAATGGTGAAAAATATATATCGAATATAAAGTTAAAATATAATCCGTTTATCGAACATTGATTAATGTGCTTCGTATTAATTAATTAGAAAAACTTCCTTAACTCGAAAAAAAATCCCGAATTTAACAATCCTCTATCGAAAAAGCTAACTCGGCTATTTCTTATTAGTCAAAAAAAATTCACTCCTCATTGATTAAAAATGTAAATCGAATATAAAATGAAAATCGATCTTTGCATAAAGTCAACCGCTATTTAGTAACATACATCACATTGTTCAACTTAAAATTAATTAGCATAATAAAATTAATTTTATTTCAAATTCACATTTTGTTCCAATATCGTATTAAATTACACTACTTCGATCAATTGATGCTTTCCACGCACATTTTACAGATTGATGTTCTTGAAAATATTCGAATAAAATAAAAAACCCTAGTAGAACATTCATAAACCAAAAACAAATCGCTCATATATACATTTATAAAAATGATTCTTAAGAGACAAAATAAATTATAAAATATATATACATAGTACACGCAAGCCTGAGAGAAATAAATGAAGAATAAAATCTATAACAAATATTTAATATAATAAGTATATATACAATAATGATAATAATAAAGCAATAAACAAATAAAATGATTACATGGACAACAAAAGGGTTAATATATTAAAAGATAAACTTTGCCAATCGAAGAAAAACACAGTAGTAAAAAGACATAATAGAGGAAGGACTAGATTAAAACAATAGTGAACTAAAGGGTGAAAACTTAAACATGAAGAAAATCAACAAACATTGTACACCATGAATACTGGGATCTCAATAAAATACTAGGTTAAACACACGACAAAAAAATGAAATATATCAAAATGATATATCGAATTAAAAAACAAGAACAATATAAACGAATAAACTACAACGAATAAAAATAATATATCATAACATGAAATTTAGTGACCATATCAAAAGAACTAAGTTGAAAACAATATAAACTAGTACCCTAAAGCAACCATCATAAATATAAATTGATTAAGTAAATAAAGAGCATAAACGAAATAAAAAAGCAAACAATAGCCTTGAATCATAAGAAAATAAAAACTTCATTAGTGGCTAAAATGAAATATTATAAATATCAATGACTACATTCAAATAAATGACATATCAAAAGAGTGACTAATTTAAAATAAAATGGAAACATGATACCTAAATCAAAGAAAATATCAAAACGTCGTATCTAGTGACTGAAACGCAAGAACATAGCAAGGCTTGGAGGACCTAAGCATGATTTACCCAAAATATCAAAATAAGTTCTACTCCTTCCCCTCTCAATTACATTCTGCCCGATAACTTCAAATCCCTAGCCTTCCTTCCCTCTTTTCTTCACGCGTGAGGTTGTCGGCCCCAAAGAGCCCGACGCTCAGGCCACAACACAGGGGTGGATATTACCTTCGGTTAACGATCAACGACGGACGGGAAGCCCCTCACCAGCAGACCCCGATTAAACCGACCTGACCTCTTCCTCTCCTCCCTGTCCAAGGAAGCAACTACGTGATCGACCACCACGAACGGTGGCGCCACAGCCTAAACCCACACCGTCTAAACGTGACCCCCTCCCTGACGACGCTATTGCCCCGACGAAACCCCGGCAGTAAGGTAATCTAAACTCCCTATCTCTACTTATTTTTTTTAAAGCATGGAACTAGCTTAAAACGAGGAACAAATTATAACCTAAATTATATTTTCCAGTGGTATTCTAAGAATTGAACATATAAACTGAAAATGAAAACAAAGGCTAAAATACCTTAGGATTTTCGGTTCTGCTTTTGATTATTGAAAAAAAAATTCTTGTTACATAGTTCCCCCCTTTACACTGAATTTAAGGTTATATAACCCATTACATATGTAAAAAAAAATCCTGATGTTGCTATTTTGGTTGTTGATGTTTGGTGACTAAAGCTGCTGAGAAACATGGTTGTACAGGGCATGGGCGAGGCATGGCGTTGGCGTGGGGTGCTGTGGAGTAGGGCATGGGCATAGCTGGGTTGGTGGTGGCTTCGGGTCGGATCTCGGGTTTGCTGTAATATGGGTTTGTGTGTTGGACTTCATGTAATGGGCTTCGGGTTTAGGCCTACAACAAAAATAATATAATTAGAAATAATAATATTAATAATAACATTTTTTCGACCCGGACAAAAACGGGTGTCTACAGACTTCATTGTTGCATATAAGGCAGTTGTCTGTCACAGCTTCTTCTTACGAAATAGAGCTTTGAGAGTTGTAAGATTCAGGTCTTCTGCATTGCAGAAGAGGACTCAGATGCAGAGGGCCTCAAGGCTGATGTGAAGTTCCTATACGATCTTCGGATGCAAGCTGGAGTGATCTTTATAACGCTCAAGTCATGCGACGTGCAGCGGGAGGGTGGATCTCAGCCAGACGAGTCTATTGAGTCATTTACTGCGGCTCAGCAACGGGTAGCTGATTACTTGGCGGATATAAAGGCAACAGCGAAGAAAGAAGGGACCCCATTGATGGCCGATGGGAAGCCTGTAATTGTGAATGAGCAACAAGTAGAGAAGTTTCTTTATACAACTTTGAAGTTGAATTTAATGATAGAATGGCTGCGGTTGTGCTCGTAAGCTTACCGTCACCTCCGATCAGCCACCTGGCGTACTGCTACATGGAATACATGGATTTGTTGGTTGATAATATCCCCAGACTTTTGGTGGTAAGAGGGTATCGTAGAGATGATGTAACTTTAATCACATAATTTGCGGTTGATTTTTTTAAATCGAGATTGTAATTGTGTTTACTGTGCATATAGGCTTTACCTTTTTATTGCATTTTGCCGAAGTGTTGCATTCATTCTTTTCCGGCCATTCTGACCAATGGCATTTTGTTATTTTATTCTATTTCTTTTTTTGGGTAAATTACATGGTTGATACTTTCTGTTTAAGTTTTGTATATTTTTTTCACTAAATTCAAAAATCATAAAATTTAATCACTTTTGCTTTATTTAAGGGTAAACTACACTAACGATCACTAACATTTGAATAAGTTTTTTTGTTTTCCCATTGAAGTTTAAAAAATAACAAATCAGTCATTAATATTATCGATTAGTTACATATTAATCGCTTGAGGTTAACGAGATGTACTGTCAACTAGAGATGAACAGAAGCCGGATTTCAATCCGATCCGGATAGGATAAAAACCGATCCGGTTTTTCCCCCAACCCAAAAACCAGATTTTAAAAAAACCGGATCGGATCCTAATCGGTTTGGAGGACCGGATGGTGTAACCGGTTTCGGTTTGCAAAAAAACCGGTTTTTAATCCGGTAAAAAAATCGGTTGTTCAATTTTTTCCCAAACCGGTTATACTATCCGGTTTTTAAATATCCGATCCGGTTTAAAAAAATCGGTTTTTCCAAAATCCGGTTTCGAATATTTTTTAAGCAAAATCGGATATTCAGATTTTTTGTGCATAGTCAACTATCTATTTGGCTCGTTGGCGGCTTATGTGAAATGTTGATCGGTCATCTCTTCAATTTTAAATAAAAACCTATTCTTGTAACCTCAGTGCATTATCCCTCCACCTCCTGTGCCCGCCACCTTCCAAGAGTAGTTCACTAACTTTTGCGCTTCATACCTATGCGAACTTAAAGCAATCCTCAAGCCTTCTTCTTCTGTTATTGTCGGGCCTTCCTTTTCTTCTTCTTGAAAACCTCCTATCGCCACCACTACTTCCACCGCTTCATTTCAAGCCATCCTCAAGCCTTCTCTTCCAAATGACTTTAATTATTAGATTTCGACATGAAAATTATCGCAATTTATCTAAACACTTTGCAGATTATTTGAGTGATCCCATTTCACAGGTGTCACTCCTGACTTCCAAGCAATTGAAATTTAGACCTGAGTTTGTTAATGGGTATATTAAAGACTCGAAAATATTTATAGATCAAACATGAAAGGAAAATTATATGATCCATGCGGTCTTTTATATTATTGTCTTTCTGCTTGGTCAAGAAAGTAGATACTAAAAATTTGTCAATGAAGACACTGACAACTAGGGTTTTAAATAGCGTTCACGGTCACGTTTTCGGTCGCGTAGCGTTTATCACGGTTGCGGACATAACGGATGTCATTGTGGTCATTGCAGGTATCTTGGTCGTGGATTTTTTTTTAAATGTCGCACAACTTACCTTAAAATGACTAAACTAAATATAATTAAAATAAAATTGTAAAATTTAAATTGAATAAATTTAGATTACTGAAATTAAGAATAAATCAAATAAAAATTAAAGTTTACATTTTAAATTAGGGATTAAATAATAAATTCTAAAAGTGGGAGGGATCTCAAATAAATATATCATTTAAAATTATATTTTAAAAATTATTAAAAAAAGAAATAAATCACCCCTTCCACCCTTCCCCGACCTTTCTGCCTCCCCTTTCCTGACCTTTCTGGTTAAGGCTTTCTGCTTCCCTCTTCCTCCTCCCCTTCCTCCTTCCCCCATTATTGTCTGAAACAAAAATGGTTTTGGCCTTCTGCCCTATGTTGCACTAATATGGATACGGACACAGATACGGGGAAGGGGATGAAAAACGGTAATTTCTAAAATTATAGGGTTCAGGAACGACATATAAAAAATTTAAATTATAAATAGGTGTAAAAATCATAAATAAAGTAAATACTTCATAGAAAATTGGTGTAACACCCTAGTTTATCCCTAATTAAAAATCCTAACATTTGAGAATTTTTTTCTAAATCCCCAAATTAATTTTGGTGGCCAATTTAAAAATGATGTAAAACGTATTACTATATTATAAAACCCTAAAAAGATCAGGGATCAACTGGAAATTATACCAAAATTGCTTTAAATCCTGTTCTAACTCTTATCTCTCTCCCCCGCTGCTTCTTCTTCTTTTCAATTTTTTTCTTTCTTTTCACAAACCTTGAAATCGTCCATTTTCAAAGGCTCCTTTGTTTCTTCTATTTTACCTTTCTTTTGTATTTGTTGGTCATGACTACAACCATGATTTGAGTAAGAGTATTCTCTTCTTTGAAGCTCAAAGATCATGTCACCTCCCTCGTAACAAGAGAATCAAATGCAGGGAAGGTTGGCTTTTTATTTTGTTTTGGAATCACGGATGAATAACGGTTGTTGCGTCCCGTTATCGGCACAATAGTCTGTTCCCCGTTAAATTACGAGCGCAATCGACCAAGATCAGTGTGAATCCGTGACCCACAGCAAAAACCATGAATAACAGTTTCGGACGGTGGCGTGATCGCAATATCGTGAACGCTATAGCATTTTCGGAACGCTATTTGATACCCTGCAGACAACCAAGGGACAAACTGGAAATCTCTCGAGGTGGAAGAGAAGTCATCACCAATGGCAACTTCAGCTTAGCTGGAAGTGGCATAAGCCATAGAAACTATCAGAATGGATCAAACACAATGAAGAAACATGAGATTAAAGCCCCGTGCAGGGTTTTAAATAGCATTAGCGGTCACGTTTTCGTTGCGTCGCGTTTATCACGGTTGCGGATATAACGGATGTCATTGCGGGTATCGCGATCGTGAATTTTTTTAAATGTCACGCAACTTACCTTAAAATGACTAAATTAAATATAATTAAAATAAAATTATAAAATTTAAATTGAATAAATTTATATTACTGAAATTAAGACTAAATTAAATAAAAATAAAGTTTACATTTTAAACTAGGGATTAAATTATAAATTCTAAAAATGGGAGGGATCTCAAATTAATATATCTTTTAAAATTATATTTTAAAAATTATTAAAACCCCCTCTACCCTTCCCTGACCTTTCTGCCTGCCTTTTCCCGACCTTTCTGGTTTTGGCTTTCTGCTTCCCCCTTCCTCCTTCCCCCATCATTGTCTGAAACAAAAATGGTTCTGGCCTTCTGCCCTATGTTGCACTAATACGGATACAGACACGGATATGGGGACGGAAAATGGTAATTTCTAAAATTATAGGGAAAGGGACCGACATATAAAAAATTTGAAATTATAAATAGGTGTAAAAAATCATAAATAAAGTAAATACTTCATAGAAAATTGGTGTAACACCCTAATTTATCCCTAATTAAAAATCCTAACATTTGAGAATTTTTTTCTAAATCCCCAAATTAATTTTGGTGGCTAATTTGAAAATGATGTAAATCATGTTACTATATTATAAAACCCTAAAAAGACCAGGGAGCAACTAAAAATTATACCAAAATTGCTTTATATCTTATTCTAACTATTCTTTCTCTCCTCCGCGGCTGCTTCTTATTCCTTTCAATTTTTTTTCTTTCTTTTCACAAACCTTGAAATCGTCCATTTTCAATGGCTCTTTTGTTTCTTCTATTTTACCTTTCTTTTGTATTTGTTGGTCATGACTACAACCAAGATTTGAATAAGAGTATTCTCTTATTTGAAGCTCAAAGATCCTATCACCTCCCTCGTAAGAATGCAGAGAAGGTTGGTTTTTATTTTGTTTTGGAATCACGGTTGAATAACAATGTTTGCATCCCGTTATCGGTGCAATCGTCCGTTTCCCGTTAAATTGCGGGCACAATCGACTGTGATCGGTGTGAATCTGTGACCCACCACAAAAACCATTAATAGTAGTTTCGGACGGTGGTGCGACCGCAATATCGTGAACGCTATAGCATTTTCGGAACGCTATTTGATACCCTACTAACAACCAAGGGACAAACTGGAAATCTCTCGAGGTGGAAGAGAAGTCATCACCAATGGCTACTTCAATTTAGATGGAAGTGGCAGAAGCCATAGAAACTATCAGAATGGATCAAACATAGTGACGAAACAATCATGAGATTAAAGCCTCGTGCAGGGTTTTAAATAGCGTTCGCGGTCACGTCTTCGGTCGCGTTGCGTTTATCATGGTTGCAGACATAACATATATCATTGCGGTCATTGTGGGTATCGTAGTCATGAATTTTTTTAAATGTCCAACCACTTACCTTAAAATGACTAAATTAAATATAATTAAAATAAAATTGTAAAATTTAAATTGAATAAATTTAGATTACTGAAATTATGACTAAATTAAAGAAAAATTAAAGTTTACATTTTAAACTAGGGATTAAATTATAAATTCTAAAAGTGGGAGGGATCTCAAATTAATATATCTTTTAAAATTATATTTTAAAAATTATTAAAAAA